ATGAGTGAAGAGCGGACTGGAGAGCAGGTGTCTCTGCTGCCTGAACTACTTACACCCGAACTGCTTGTAGCTCACATTTAAAAACTGACTAAATTTCAGGTCAGTGTCCTGCTTTGGAATGACATTGCTCTTTCAGAGAAAGAAAAGAAAAAGGTACTTTGGATCCTGACTCGTTAACACCTTAGGTAACTACTGTTGAAGCTGTATGTGTAATTGAAGAAACAGCAGTGGAAGAAAAGTAAACCTTGACACCTCTTGATTTGACTGATTTCTTGGAAGAGTGATGTTTGAATCTATTTCCTTCTTCTTTTGTCTGTTTAAGTGGTGTGGGTTTGGCCAAGTTTAGATACAGCCTGATGTACTGCAGGGTATGCTCTTTAAAGAGGGGGCAATGCTGCAACTGCATCCGATGCTTTCATAGGAAGAGTTGCGAGAGCTTAATCTTTTATAGCAGTGTTTTCTATGATCCTATTGCACCAGGTATGGCATTAAATAAATGCATGATAGTTCGCAATGGGGGTGCTTCTTGCATGTATCCTTAAAACAGCATAACAAAAACACTCTAGGAGTGCGTGATGAGACAGGGAATCTGTTAAAGAACAGTTTTTTTGAATGTGTGGTCCTCGGCTCTTGACTTCAGCTTGCTTTGGGACACAACAAAGAGCACCATTTATTCTGCTGCATACAATGAAGGATGATGCAGCTCAAACTGCAATGGTTCAGTCCTCAGATCCGGGCTTGAATTTCAAATGCCTTTCAAACAGAAAAGGGACAAACTGGATTGCCTTTCTCATGGACAACTTCTTTCTCTTCCCTCCTTTCTTTCCTGCTGCATAAACCCCATCCTGCTTCTGTAGGATCAGTTCCACACAGGTTACTGAAATATTGGCACCCTCGTGTCATCGTCTTTTTCCTCCTCCTTCCTGGATCAATTAAGAAACCAGTTTTTCCTCTTACTCTTCTCTGCTTCTCTTGTCTGTCCTCCTCCTCTTGAGAAGGAAAACTAAATGCTTATGATGAAGTAATCCCTGTTTGTTGGCACTTGCTGCTTCAGATAATTTCTATAAAAACAGACTCCCAATGTTTCTGAGGTTCTGCGCAAGCCACGTTACCAATTGAGTAACTTTTTGATCTCTTTGAGCTTTGTGTGTTCGCTCTTATCTGATTTTTGTACCAACTACTGCCATTGTTTTTGTTTTGTGTGGAAGTCAGTATAGTTGGGAGCGTGTATTTAGAAGATAAAGGGTCTGATTTTAAAACAAACACGAAATGGACATTAATGTGCAGGTTTGTGCTTGATGAATTTGTGTGTGCTGCTGTTGTCATCGTCTACCCGTACGAGGCATATGCCAGTGGTGGAATTTGGCCATTTGCATTCAGTTTTACCAAATGGGCAGTAAAAAGTGTGGGCTCTGCTCGCAAACTCATTTCATGACTTTTTAAAAATCAGACACAAAGCATTTTTTCCTCTTTTCTGCTGAATCGGTTTCAAGCTCCTCGCCTTCCTACTTTGATGTCCTCTTTTTAACCACGTTTCTTTTCCATTCTGTTTTGCATCTTCTCTCATTTGTGTTGAACAAAGTGCAAGTCCTAAATTATAGCAAACTTTTTTCTTCTTCCAAATATTCCCACTAAAATAGCATGTGTTTGGGGAATTTCGAAGTGTTCCTCTGGGCCCTGTGCACGCAAAACACTTACATAACAAAAATAATAGCGTTATTATTTGTATAAGAATGCATAATTAGCTTGCATATTTAATTACGCTATATTGGATTATTCTTATCAAAAGTGTCTATTCATCTCTTCAGCGTTATTACTGAGAACATATTCACCAACATGAAAGTAATCGCATTATGGGTAAGCCATTCTGTTAGCTCTAATCCAGGAATTTGAACAGATCTGGGTTGAACTGTGCTGGGTGGGACTATACTGATTACATTATAAAAATTAAGGATTGATTCTCATCGCTGCTGACCAGAGGGCAGTCAGAAATGAAATCTGTGTTTTGGGGTATGAAAGGGCCTTGTTACTTCTAGAGATGCTAGTGATAACTAAAATAGAAAATGATCTTTGGATTTATGGAGTGGG